GAGTACTGAGAAGTCAAAGACGTGGGAAGGTAAGTCAGAGTCAATCGTCGTATCGAGCAGGACGACGACGAGTGYGCTGTGGACGCTCAGAAGCATCCGGCTGCTGCTGAAGGTCTGCCTCAGATGGAGCAGGCTCAACTTTAGCGGTCTCCTCAGCCGGAGGAGAAGGAGGAGGGTCAGTGGGCTGAGGAGGARCAGTGAACCCAGCACGACGAGCACGGTCATAGGCACGCACCAACATGCGAGCGTGCTCTAAGTCCTCGAGGGGCTCCCAGGTAGCCTCCTTATCAGGGTAACGCTTCCAACGTACGAGATACTCGACGTGGGGAGGGTTGTCGTCGGTGACTCGGCGACCAATGATATCTGAAACGAGGAACTCCTCGTGGCCGTCCACCATGATGGGTGGAGGGCGCTCGCATGGTCGTCCAGCGAAACACTCAGACGGTCTGCGGTAAGGACGCAGTAACGAGACGTGGTAGACATCATGCACATGAGCCTGGCGTAGGTAGTCGGGCAGCTTCACACGAAAGTTGACCGGGCTAGATGCCGTATCAAAAGCGACGGCCTGGAGGATGCCGCATGGGCCAAAGAAGAGACGCCAAAACTTGTGAAGCGTGCCCGCTTCGAGCTGTAAGTGGCGGGCGTCGATAAGCACATCATCACCGACCTTGAATGGGTAATCCATCCGCGATCGGTTCGCACGTGCTGCCATGCGAGTGTGGGAAGCGGCTATGTGCTCATGTGCAGTCTTCATAATCGACGTCATGTGTGCAACCCAATGATCCAGCGCGGGACAACTCGTGTCGGGGTGCATCTGGGACGGTCGAAGGAAGTCCGCGGGAACACGCGGGTGATAGTCGAGGTCGCAATAGTAAGGCGACATCCCCGTGGCTGGCGAGACGGCGTGGTTGTAGGCTATCTCTGCGTGGGCAAGATGGAGATCCCACTGCTGGTCGTCACGAATAATCTTCCGGAGAATATCCCCGAGAGTCCTGTTCGTGATCTCGGTCTGACCATCAGTCTGAGGATGCTAAGACGAGGAGAAACGGAGCTGAGTGTCGTACACCTCATAGAGTCGTCGCCAAAATCGGCTGGTAAAGCGCGCGTCACGGTCAGATATGATGCTCAGAGGTAAGCCGTGGTCACGCACGACTCGGTCAAATACGATGTCGGTGACCTCACGTGCAGTGATGGCATAGCGGCACAGAACAAAGCGTGCACGCTTCGTAAAGCGGTCGACGACGACCAGGATAGCATCATGACCGCGAGGGGTCGGAGGTCGAAGAGGACCGATAAAGTCCATCAAGATGGACTGCCAACGACCCTCAGGGATAGGAAGAGGCTGGAGCAAACCATAAGGTAGGTGGTTCGCACTGTTTACCTCCTGACAGGTGGGACACTCTGCGACGTAGTCCTTCACAAAGTCCTTGCGCTTCGGCCAGACGTACAGGTGGCTCACACGAGCCAACGTCTTGTGGAAGCCCATATGGCCGGCAGCTGCCTGGTCATGGAACTCTGCTACTGCTCGGACACGTAGTTGTCCAATGGAGGGAACACAAATACGGGGCTCTCTGGTGCCCTGTGAACCGTGCCAGTACACAAGACCGTTGTCCCCGAGAAAGTAGTTCGGGACGGTCTTGCCATTCCGAAGGGTCGCGTGGATGGCGCGATAGTCGGGGCAGTGGCGGTACTGAGTGCGAAACTCGTCGATCACCGAGTGGTGGATGGTGCTTACCGAGATGGAAGAGTGTTGGATGTGCTCCTGGTCGTGGTCAGGGCGCCGGGATAGGGCATCGACGACCCGATTAGTCTCACCCTTGATGTGCTAGGTGGTGAAACTAAACTCGGATAGGTCGCGCCACCAGCGAGCCTGTCAAGGAGTGAGCTTCGGCTTTGTAAAAAAAGCCTGGACAACAGAGTTGTCCGTACGCACCGTGAATGGTGCCCCGTACAGGTAGTGACGCCAGTCCCGAGCGGCATAAACTACTGCGAGAATCTCACGTTCATCAGCAGTGTAGTTTATCTTCGCGGGCATGAGCTGACGGGAGTAGAAGGCTATCGGCCAATCACCTGAGCGAGACTCGACAGTGCCGTCCTCGGCGATGGTAGGAGAATAGTAAATAGAAGGCTCGTCAGTAGCTGGACGAGTAGGCGTCAGTCGGGAAGCAGTGGTAGGGGTAGGTGGTGGGAAGCGAGGGATACGAGGATGAGAGGAATCAGGAGATGAGGGGAAGACCTGAGAAAGCACTGCTCCTACGGCGAAGTCTGA